ATTTAGATTAATACTTCCCTTACTTCAGTAGGAGGGTTTTTCTCCTCTGAGATGTTTGAGGGGTGGGCATCAGTTCTTATCTAGAGGCCTACTCCAGGGCAATGAAGCCACACATCTTTTCTGGGGGTGATTCCTAACTTCTAAATGGTAATATAATTAGTGCTGTTAGGACCCAAGTCTGCTAACTCTCTTGCCTAAATAAGAAAGCCAGCCTGTGAGAGTCATCCTTGCCCTGTAAAATGAGTGAGTGAGAAGAAATCCTATCTTTCTTCCTGTGGAATAGACGATGTTGGCAAGGAGCCCGGTCATTCAGGAGTTCTCCATGATCTGTTAATAAAACCTAACTCATAATTATGGCTGGCTTTAGGCAGGAGGCCAAAATGAGGAGACTGAATTTATTTCTGGTTTTTCCATCCCGTTCCTTCTTGCCGTTTCCAGTTTTAAGGCAAGTGTTAACTCTGAGGTGGGAGTTAGAAGAAACATAGACCTCCCTGCCTCCACCTGAGAACTCTATTAATCCAGAGTTAAGCCTTCTAAAGTCTCGTGGCTTCCAGCATGATGACACCAATGTTCTGCAGGGGCCAGCAGGCTGTCGAACTCTAAAATGCCCACAATATTGAACTTAATGAATCTGACAGGTGATTAAGTTTCAGGACCACTAGGCTGCAGACAAACACCAACGACACCTTCTTCATCTGGGGTTCCTGGCATCTGTCACAGGACCCCATCACAACTGCCAGGGAAATGTTCTGAGTAGAACTTTTAGGGTCACAGATCCATGCTTACCCACATTTTTTTCTTGTATTCCACAAAGCCATTCTCTATTTGCTTGTAACCTTTAGAAGAAATTGTATTCGTGTATAACCCACCTGGAATTTATATATAATTTTGTCCCAACTCAAAATACCACTTGTTTAATACTCTGCCTTTTATTAAGTTGTTTTATTTTGTCCTGTTTGTCCAGCCCCTCTGCTAAAATAACAGCTTTAGAATATGCTTTAATATTAGACATTTCCCTCAAAATTTCCAGATTAGTTGTTCTTTTGAAGTATTGTTTTGCTGTTCATATGATCTTCAAAATAAATTTAAACAAATAACAGCTATTTGATGTGGAATATTCCTTTACACTGTGTGAATATATGTCACTGTGATTGGTTTAACAAAGAAGCTGACTGGCCAATAACTAAACAGGATAAGGGTTAGAGACTGAGAATGCCGGGAAGAAGAGGGGCGGAGTCTGGAGTCTCCAGCAGAGACAGAGAGAAGCAAGATGGGCATGCTGTACTGAGAAAAGGTCCCAAGCCACATGGCAGATCATAGATAAGAAATGTATGTTAATTAAATTTAAGAGTTAGCTAGTAACAAGCCTGAGCTATTGGCCCGAGCATTTACAGTTAACAAAGCCTCCATGTGTCTATTTGGGACCTGTTGGAAGGACAGAAATTTCCACCTACAAGTTGGAGCTTCAGCAAATGTGTCTATATAATCTGCTTTTTACAGGTGCTAGTTTTGAAGCACTGGTGCTTTTAATTAAAAAAATTATTACTTCTTGTCTGGGTGCTTTTGTCTGCATATCATGTCTGCCTACTTGTGTGCTTGTTACCCACCGAGGGCATCAGATCCTGCCCCTGGAGTACAGAAGGTTGTGTGTTTCTATGTGGTTCCAGAGAATAGCACCCTGGTCCTCTAGTCTTCTTAGTCCCTGAGCTGCTTCTCCAGCCCAGAACTGGTCTTTCTTATAATGCAGAGCCTACCACTCAGGAACCTGGTAAACCTTAAAATAGCTACTCTTTATCTTTTTATATACTCAGTAGTAAAGTTTTATAATTTTTTTTTTTTTTGGTTTTTACGAGACAGGGTTTCCCTGTATTGTTTTGGAGGCTGTCGGTCCAGCCTGGCCTCGAACTCACAGAGATCTGCCTGCCTCTGCCTCCCGAGTGCTGGGATTAAAGGCGTGCGCCACCACCGCCCGGCAATTTTTGTCATCTTTTAAGTTGTTAAATATTTGACATTTTGCAGTGTATGATTATAAACAGGAATCTAGGGTCACTGCCTAATTGATTTTACAGTTTTTTTTAGATGTTCACTCATTCATTGACTTTTATTGAATACCTATTATACGTGGGGTAGTTTTCATGAAAGGGAAGCTGGGAAGAGTGGCATGTATTAGGGAATGCACTTAACCTCCCGTCTAAAGGAATGAGTTTTGCTCTTTCTCACATGGTGTGCAGCTCCAATGAGGCAGTCTAGGGGTATTTTGGCTTCTCCAAAGTACCAGGCAGAAACGTGCCATCTCCACTGAGCTCTCACCATTAACCTGCAGCTAGCACACCCAGCACTCCAAGCAGGAGAGAGCACGCTGGCCGCACCTGGCCTCTTCACTCCCTCTGCCTTTCCCAGAACCCGCTCCATGGATCCAGTCTGCCACTACCAACTGGCCAGACCATCTTCATTAGCTAATTCTTTGTTCTCTTTGATCAGCCTTCTCTTAGTACAGAAGAAATAGTCTTAGGGAGAGATTTGAGAGTTTATGACTGAATGCCATGGATTTCTTGGCGCTCCTTTTTGCATTATATTCACCCATTTTTACTAGTGGTCTCACCCAGTCTCATAACTTTAACTAGTTAAAGGTTTTCCCATGGACTTCAGTATACGATAGTTAACTGCCTGTCCATATTCTGTTTTAACTGTCCACTTGAACCAGTCTAGAATTACCAGCAAGAGAGTCTCTGTTAAAGTGTCCAGAGTAGGTTGATCTGTAGACATGTCTGTGAGGCTCTTAAGTACGTTAAGAGGTGTCCACTCCGGGCTGCGCCATTCCCTGGGCTTTGATTGAAGGTGAGTTGAGCTAGCATGCATACATTTATTACTTTCTTCTGACTACAGACATATGTGACCAGTTCTCTCCAACTCCCACCATTGTGACTTCTCAGTCATGCCATTGTGGTGATATATTATTTATGATTTATTAAAGCTTGCCTGAGGGTATGGAAAACAAAGCCAGCCATAAGCTATAGAGCCAGGCAGTGGTAATATACACCTTCAATCCTATTAGCCATAGATCCCGGTGGTGGTAGCACACACCTTTAAACTCAGAACTCAAGAGACAATCAGATAGATCTCTGTGAGTTCAAGGTCACCCCTACATGAAATTGATCCAGTCCTAAAGAGAAACAGAGTTTACACAAAGGTGATCTCAGCACCTTTGTATAAAAGGAACAAAAATCAGTCTTTTACCACTTTGAGGAGAGCATAGCAGTCTGAGTGAATCTGAGGAGCAGTGAAATGGGGAGCAGTTTGAGGATGGCCCCTTTGGTCTGAGGTAGTGGTAAGAGCTAGTGGCTGGCTGCTTTGCCATGAGGCCTATATCCTGGAATTGTGAGGCAAGTAAGCCTCTACCTAACCCAGCATGTTCACTTGGATATACGCTATTTTGATCACATTCCTTCCCCATTCACCCACAAAAAAACAAACAAAATACCCATATAACAACAGACCTCCCCAATCTGAGAAAACAAAGTAAAACCACATCAAAAAACTATCGAATTGTAACCAAATAAAAGCTCTCACACACAAACAAAACAAAAATAATGACTAAAACCCTGCAGAGCCCATTGTCCACTATACGTTGGTCAGTTACTCCTGAGCATGAGGCCTGTCCTGGAGTGGTCGACAGACTCAGTGTCTTTCTACTGGAGGAAACCGACTTTCCTTCTTCTAGCAGGTATAAGTGACAGTTCAGTTGTTACTGTGTCCCTATCTTAAACCACCCCCTGTGAGCTGGATTCTATTTGAACTGATTCAGGAATTTTCCTGACTTCTGTATCAAACTCCTATTTTTACACATTATTTCTTTTTTCCCTAGAAATACACAGAAACTCTCTTGGGTCCGTTTCACCTTCTAGCCATTATACTGTTTCACCCCCACCTCTACAGCCAAACTCTGCAAAAGAACTGGTTATGGCCATTGTCTCAGTAGGAGCTGCACTGATGATGGAGATATGGACGTCTTCTCCTAGGATGGGCTGTGTAGAGTTTCCACCACCACCTCTGAGATAAAAAGGGCAGTGGACATGCTCACTGCGATGTCCTCTAGGACAACGAGCACTCATCCCCTTCATGCTCATGAAGGCTTAGCTGTCAAGGGCTCAGAGCTGCCCTGGCTCCTCCAACCAAAGTGCCCAGGAGTAGGAGAAGCTTCCCGAGAGCACTCTGGGAGCTCACCACACTGTGAACCAGAGAACTGACTGAAAATGATAACATTACCTTCCAGTGCCAGCTGAGGACCAGCAAGCAGCAGAAAAAGCACACCAGGAGCGCAAGTCAGGCAGACAGGACTTCAAAGACACCGAGGTATGCTACTTAGAAAGCTGAGTGTTTGAGAATAGCTCTGCTACCAGGCAGAACCATCACGAGATACACTACCTCCCGACGACTACCACTGGCTGACTGTATTTTCCCAAACTGGGCATCCCGAGAACAAGAGAAACATTGCTGACAAGACTGCAAAGATAATGGGTGCTTACTTACAAATAAAGGATTATTTGCCCAAGACAAATGCACAGGGCTGGCCACACCTTGGTACTCATCCTTCACACTTTACCCAGGGAAACGGTCAGGTCCTTGTTCACACAAGTACTCTACTGGGCAAACCATGGCAGCAGCAGTTCTCAGGGTGGACTCCACTTACCGCATTTGACCCTGAACCATCATGTAACACTTACTTCTCCACTGAACAACAAGGGAGCTGGGGCACTTACTTTACCACGCCTGGGACACCTCACCTGATGCATGTTTAGTCTTTTTGAAGGCCATTTTTATCCTGATTCGAAGTTTATTACTGATGGTTAAGAAAGAATATGCCCCCTGTGATAAGCTAAGTTAATTAATTTTTGAAATTTTCAGAAGCTTCCCTCTTCCACAGAGGTACAGTTCCACAAATTACATCTTTAATTCAGTACGGTATCTAGTATTCAATCAATGAACACAGCACACCGAAGTCACCAGCCAGTCATTTATTGCAGGGGCCAATACACATGTTCTTCTGAGGAACATATTGAATCATTCACTTGATGGTCACAAACATGATAATCTCTTTTACTGGTATATTTTCACTAGGTTTGGTAAGGAAAAATAAAAATTATTAAAAAATTATGAATTATGTGCAAAAGTTCTAATTTAACAACTAATAAAATGGCAGGACTAAGGACTGCTAGTGCTAATGTGTCAACCAACACCATGCATTTCAAATAAAGAAGACAACACACCCAGGCACGAGACAGCAGATGCCAGCAGGGCGAAATAAAGCCGCCTGCTACAGACAGTGCAGTCAGTGAGGAATTACAAAAGGCAAGACAATTGCTGTCATATGACGTCATGTGACCACATCAGTGGTCTTTTTCAAAAGAAGTCAGGATGGTGCGACAACACTTCTACCTAGGACTCCCTCTCATCTGCTGTCTAGGTCCCATGAGCTTTGGCTTGTCCTTGTCAAACTGTAGAAATGAGGGGACATACTGGTGGTTTGGTCTTCAGTGGGAATTTACAGCACCCGAAGGAGGTCGAGAGAAATTCTAGACCGGGGGATGTCAATGTTGAGGACCTTCACTTCCACTCTTTCTCCAGGGCCCAGGCCCAGGCTCCTTCTCTTCTTTGTTTTAGACAGCTTTGCTTCTGTTATGTTTCGTATGGGAATCAGTCCAGACTTCCCCACTCCTATATCCACGAAAACCCCAAACATGGTGGCATTCTCCACTTTGCCTGTAAGAACTGTCCCAACCTGCAGATCTTCCAGACACACTATGCTTCTCTTGAAGTCAGGTTTATCAAAATCTACGAGGAAAGAGAGTAAACGTTAGTTTAACCAAGAAGTCACTATACTTGGCATTTGCTGTGTATTGATTAATACAGATGCCCAGATCAGCATGGGCCTTTGAGGGAGAAACTGTTCACACAGGCATTTACTTCTCTCTGCAGCCTGTGTCACTGATGTGAACGTGAACACAGTCTGCAAGGCTGTGGACAGATGGTCTCACTTTTTTTCCTGCAAAGGACCATCAGATTGGACCTTTGCTCGGTGACCACACCAGACAATCACAAATGCTCAGAAAGGGAGAGCTCTGGAGACATGAGAGGTGGTGCTAGCTTTCAACTCCTGGATTCTTAAATTGTTTCAAGGTGGTGAAATTCCCACTAGCTCTTGGACAAATGTGGGTGAAATCAAATGTTCTCTCTACTTCTTCCCACAAACTGTGAATCCAAGAATTCTTTCTATTTCAAACACATTTATTTAATCAGGAGGTACGGGCTTTTGATTGCCTGTGGCTCAGAAATCCACATCAGCCGGAGCGAGACTCCTCTCTTCCTCTAGTTCAGCTGATTGAATGTTTACTGCCTTCTAGCGTTACCTTGTAGTCAGGTGCTCTGCTGGATGCTAGATACAGAGACGAGACACCCAGGTCCCCATTTCACGGTCTCCCCCCCCCCCCCCCGCCCCTGCCCATCCCACTATACGCATTTCTGTTTGCCAACACCAGCCCTTAAGAAGTGAGCACAACTTGGGGCAACCATGGGTCCAGAGAAAATAAAACAAAGGCTTTGTGAGGAGAAGAGATGAAGAATCCAAATGGGGCTTGTGAGCTATCCACGGCCTGCGTTTGCTTCCACAGGCCCAGCCCCTTCCCATGGACCACTAAATGCTGACTCTCAGGACAAAGAACACATTCTAGCTGGGCTCTCCTTCTCTGAGTCCTCACCCTCCCTTCACCCAGTCCACTTCCGCTTCCTCCAAAGCTATCGGCTTTACTCTGATAACTGCTCACTTATCCTTTGCTTTTGTATTAACAACTGCTCACCTTTGTTTTCCTCCCTTGGTCCAACCACCTCAAGATCAGGATTTTTTAGGATAAGTTCCCCCACTGCTACTAAACAAGACAAAACCCTGTAAACCCCAAACCTCACTGTCCTCATTAAATACACTGATGTGAGAAGTAACTATGGAATTTTACCTGACAATTCCAAAGCAAGAAACCTCTGGTAATTTGACCCACACAGGGAGAGGGTTACTCAAAGCCAAGTGAAACTCAGGTGCCCAGGGTTGCGGCAAGGATGGACCCCAGGTCCACGAGGCAGGTTTTCATGCTGGGAAACTCTCTCCCACTCTTTTCCTTGCAAGAAGTCCAGCTGCTGCCAAGTCCCATGGGGCTCTGATCAGCAGCTCAGCTTAATTTTGCATGAAAACCAGAGTTGAGAACCACTCAACATGTTCCCCAAGACAGCCTGGGCCACTGAGAAACCAAAAGTCCTCCATGCACTATGCAAATTTTAACAATTTGAGAGCCAAGGCAACACATACAGTCAGGTTACTGTCACAAACTTGTTCCTAAGTAAGGAAACTAACTTGCAAGGATAGCTTCAATAAAAGGAATTGATTATGTCACTGAAGAAAAAAAACCCTGAAATCTGATGAGTATAAAGGAAAGAATGAGGCAATTAAGACAGGAAATACTTTTGAGAAAATGGAGAAAAGAGATGGAATACAAATACTATAACACGGAAATGCCCAAAATACTGTCTATCTCCCTCTTCCAAAGTATGACTCATCTGCATCTCCCCCTTGGGAATGTGTTCAATAGTAAAATGATAGTTCTCAAATACCTTGAAAATAGTGACTTAACCAGGGCAAAGATTAGCTGCAAAGTTTGCTTAAAGAGACCTATTTGAAACTGTACTTGTCACACTGCAAAGCCCAGGTCCATCTGTGTTCTGCCCAACAAGAGGCCAATTAAGGAAGGGCCTCTGCTTAGTTAGGTTAAGTGGGTGTATGCCTTTGTTTTGAGTCCCTACTGTAACTGAGATAATGAAGCAATCAACACCATGACAGAAAAACCAAGATGGACAGGAAAAGCCAGTACAGGCCACCTGTAGCGAAATTGTCTTTGTCAACCATCCAGGTAGTGTTTAGGCATGCCACCAATCTCACCCTGCGTGAGAGACACTGAGCTTAGTGTTCCTACAAGGGGAAGCCATTGAATCCACATGAAGACAAGCAGGCTTCTTGGCAAGTTTATCTGTGGGAACAGTCACTTTACATGAAGGACAACTGGAAGGCTTTGGTACCCACTGGTCTTATTCAGTGTTTTATTTTCTCCAGCTGCAATTCTGTCTCAAGGGGCCATTGCTCTCAACAACTATGGCTATTATACTCCCTTCACCCTCTACCTGCACAGAAAGCAGGAGCACTCTACATGAGAAAGTCGATCAACATGGAGGTATCATCCTATTTCTTCACTGTGCTAGGTGACATGGAATCCAGAGACCAGGAGGGCCGTTATTTTAGGAAGAAGATTCACTTTTGGGGGTGGATGGAAAGCTTTCCCTTCCGGCACTTCAGAGATAAGAGAGTTTATAGGACAGTCAGGGAGAGCAAGTCTCCACGCACAGTGATGCGTCTATCCTGGTGCACTGCAAATCAACATCGAGTGGGCAAGGAGTCAGAGCCCCGCCTCTATTGACTCCAGGTACCAATGCTAGTGACCGCCACAGACACACGCTGACCCTCAGCTCTCTCATGCATAGGGTGACAGAATCTATCTACTTCAGGCATTCATTCGGCTGCTGTAAGGGTCAAAGGCGGTGACGCGAGCCACACTCAGGCATGGGCTACAGCTCATGTTAACTTACCTGTTCGGAAGTCAAAGCTTTCAGGCTGACTCAGACCATCGATGATGACCTGTAAGGTGTGGGTGGTTGTCTCTAACCTTTCTGCAGTTTTCTCTATGCCTTCTTTCCCGAGAGATGAATTTATCTTGTGTTGCATTTCAGGCTTTCCAATCTCATGCAGTGTCCCTCCGATGAATGACAAAAACCTTCAGTGGGGAGAAAAGCCCAACGTTTATCACTAATATTACTTTTTATATTTCCTTGCACAGGTCATTTTCAGATTCTCTTACACCACTCGGTCTCTACGGAGAGTAGACGGTATGTCCTATGTTGTAGTAAGTGACTTAGCTGAGGGGTATGTGGGCAGGCTCGGAGGAGGCGTGTTTAAGCTCTAGTGCTATTTTTCAAGTGCCTGTCCACGGTTGGGCCAGGGACATTTTATAGTTTAGCGTCACATGCATATTTTCTGGATAAGGCTATCTACATTTACCTCATGTTTCCTACAATTTTCAGTTAGGAAAACATTAGAATTTAGATTGACAGTCAAATACAATGTATTGGTGATACCACAATCTAGTATGGCATGCATGTATCAGGTATTTCCGATTTTCACAAACACTCCTCACGTTCCACATCCTTGCTGCATGTGTACATCTACATGATGGGAAGCTGACCTGCCAGACTGTCAGTTTCAAGGACACAGATGCCACTGAGCCACACATAATTGAAATCACCTAAAAGCATGGAGTATTCAACAGGAAAATAGCAGAGGGCAGCTGGGTGGCTGCCTGCTCAGTAGTAGCATATGAAAACAGCATGTGTAAGAGAACCTGGACTCACCCCACAGCAACAGTATGGGGGCGTGTGAAAGAAAAAGTGATTTGTTTTTCAAAAGGAAAAATCCCTCAAAGATACAATCTAAAGTTGAATATTCTTTATACACTTTATATACCACATAGCTATAATGTTTGCCATTGCCTTGCTTGCACATATGCTACCCAATTGCTGAGCTGCAGGAAAACCATAATAACACAAAACAAAAAATGAAGGTTAGATGCAGTTCCCTCCAGTTTTATGTGAGTTCAGGGTCATGGCTCCCTTTCTTGATGTTCCTTGGCTGGGCATTTTTCTCCATCATTAAGCTCCATTTCCTATGATTAATGGCACTTTAAAAATGTCAACACAGTAATGAGACAGATAGTGATACTAGTGCCCTCGAATTCCTTCCTCTAAGAATGCCTCTGGAATACAGGAAGGGAAAAGGAAACTGCTGGAGGTGGTCTCTGGACCTGCCTCCCGTGGCAGGCACTGCACGGGGCAGAGGGGTTGCCTGTTCCGATTCTGTGTTTGCCTTGTGCTCTTCCTTGATACTCTGGTGCTGATCCCCTCATATCTGCTGGGGAAAGGCCTCTCACCTCCCACTTAACTAGGGTGTCTCTTGAGTTCAGATGCACAACCCTTCTACATTTCTAGAGCCCTATTGTTTATTTTAAAAGATCATCTAGCATCCAACAAGTCTCTTGAGGGTATATTTTAGTTAGCAGTCTAATATGAAGACAAAGAGTGACACTTCTTTGGGCAGGAGTACCATCCGGAGGCCAGGGAGATTCACCTCTTCAGCCTATGACTATGGCGTCCCCAGCAGGTGGAGAGGCAGCCTGTGTGGTGTTGACTGATGGACAGCAGCACCATGGGCTGGTGACAGGGCCCAGACGCTGGAGCTCAGACTGATAGGGCAGCTGTGACACCTGCTCCTTCGTTGGACAGCTCTTTTGGGTACTCACTAATATGGCTTTCCTGGGGTGCAACTGGTTACTGCTATGGCAGAAAACTTCCCGAAGCACCCACCCTGCAGGCCACTTGGAGTATTAAGATGTACTGTATATGCATATGCACAGGCACACATACGATGGAGAGGCGGTGACTGCTACAAAATCTCATCCTTATAAAAAGTCTGTGAAGAAGAGAATCGGTTGTTTAACCTGGGAGTGTAGTTCATATATCTCGTCACCCTCACAGAAGCCCGAGGGCAGTAGTCACTGAAATCAATAACAAAGCATCACGTTGCTTCCTGCTAATGCTCTGTATTGATCAACTCTATTTTTAAACAATGAAGGAACGAAGTGAAGTAGTTCTTGCATTTTGAACACTTTGTTAAAGTTGCCCAGGTCACAGAAAAAGCCAGCAAAAAGGAGGGAAACTGGGAGAACAGGAACTGTTGTATTTGGTAAGATAAAACACAACGTGTTGGGTAATATCTCACCAGCACAATTTAATGGAAGATCACTTCTAAACATTAGGCAGTTAACACCAAGTAAATCCCACTGAGAACTTAGCTTCTAAACGGACAGTTCTCACAAGTCAATGAGTTATTACAGCCATCGTCTTGCTTTCTCTACTGTCTCTGGAAGGCCTTTTCCATTTGCTAAGGACTGCTGTTGGAGCTGCTGTTTTTATTTAATATGTAATTTCATCCATCTTACTTAAAGTAAGAAAGTAGCATAAATGCAACAAATAAGCACATCATGTTCTTTTAGCACACATCTGCATGGAGTTAAAACACAGACCTTGCAGCAGAGAGCACGCTTACCCTTCAGACACAAAGCTACACTGCTGATGTTTTCTACAGAAGCTTGCAACAAAGGCCAGGCCTTCCTCCACAAAGAGAAAAGAAGTCTTTGTGAGATTTTTCCCTCAAAGAGGAAGAAATGCTTCAGATTCACAAGACTCCACAGATGGCCATCCAGATTCCCGTAATCATTTTCAGCACAGGGAGTTAGAAGCCAAGGGGCTTGTTACACAGAGCAACGTGACACCCTGCGGAGCTCACAAGAACCTCGGTGATATAACACCATCTCTCTCTCTCTCTCTCTTACACACACACACACACACACACACACACACACACACACACACACACACACACACACACACACGGGGAGGGAGGGAGCGCGGAGGGGGAGGGCACTCGAGCCATGCTACCATAGTAAAGTCCAAAGACTTTTATCCAATCATTTTACAGGGATTTCGTCAACAAGCAAAAAATGAAATGCAAGAGTGCAGCCATTTTGGAATGAAAGGAAACGTGGGGGGGGGAGTAAGTCGCAACTGGTAATGCATGGAGAAACTCGATGACACGGCTTTTAGAGTGGGGTTGTGTGTTAAATGGTGGGGCACTGACTCAAAGTCCAGCGATGGTTTGCTACTCTAGAGACTCCAGATATATAGTTTCAAATCTATCAGTGTAAAGGGGCCAGAAGAAACTTGAACTCAGTGTGCCACTGCCTAGTCAAGCTGCTGTACCAGGTGCACTGTGCACAATGAGTTCAGTATGGCTTGATGGAGACGGTGCCAACGTGGCTATATCAGATTATCTTGTGAACACCATCAGGTGACAGCCATGGGGACTGCATTCTCATCACTAAGAATCCTTCACATTTCTCCTGGGCTAAAACAAGGCACAGACCTGGGCCAGAATCCTTCAAAATCTGTGCTGGTACAAACTCCGAAGCAAGTGACGATCCGAGGAAAGCGCATTTATGGAAGGTCCCGGAGTTGCCAGCAGCTCCACGGAAGCTAACAGAGTCATAATGGAAATGGTATTTCAGTGGCTTTTCTTAGCATTTGATCAGCCACACAAAGAGCAGAGAACTCTCCATAAGAATGTACGGCTGACAAGGTTTTAAAATATGGTAGAGATAAGTATCCTGAAAAATAGACTTGCTGTGAAGACTCCCACACTCTGCCTTGGGAGCGCAGTATTAAATGGTATGCACAATCTGGACCAGAGAGGGGTCCCTGTAGGGTCTTTTGTGGTGACATTTCCAAAGTCTTCAGACTGTTTCCTGCATCAGGGAGCAGCAGCAAGTCACTGAAAATGGAGAAACTCCTGCCAGGGATTGAGGAATAACTGCGGGGCTTTTTGTGAGCACCTGCTCTCCCTCCTGCGGATGGACGAGACACTTCCTGGTGTCTAAGGGAAGGTTAGACAATGCGCAGAAGCGGAACTACTGTATGTCACAGTCACAGTCACTGCAGGGAGAAGCCGTTCCCTTGCAGCTGTTTCAGTAAAACTTTACATGCCTCTGCACTTCAGCACAGGGAATTAACTTCACTTAAAAACAAGTGCCAGTTAATTGTCTTTACAGCCTTCTAGAAGTTCAAGCATGAGGATGACCATCCATTTAGAGCCAGCTGAAGATGACACTCTCAGTTTAACCAAAGCATCTAAGATTGGTGAAGCAATGACCAGTGTCATAAAAGGCACTGATTCCTCAACATCCAAACAACTTACTGTGAGCCACATACTGTGTAAGCATCACAGTTTAACTTAAACCTCTACACACAATTTTAAAGAAACTGGCGCATCCTTCCACAAAGTGAGCTCAATGGGGGGGAGGGGATGAGGGCAGGGTGGCAGCATCTTGTTTGCCCCACCTCCTTCAAATATACAGTCCTATCTCAAGTGATGCGGATCTGCTAAATTCAAAGCCTTGTGAAAAGATGTTGAGGTCAATTAAAAATACACTGGAAAAGCATGCTCAGCTTTGTTCAGCAAACATTTATTTCATGTGCACAGATAGTACATTACGGAAACAGAGCCTTGGCCTTGAATAAGCTTCCAGAGGACTCGGGCAAGAGGAGGCCAGTTGGGACAGTTTCCGTCCTGCTTGTCCTCTCCAAGGCGGGACTTCACGTTCAGATGGGCACATACTTTCAAAGCACTCGATAAAACATGCATTTCACTCTCTGGAAAATCTCACTGCAGATGGAGCTTTGCAGATAAGACAATCAAAGCCCTGAGAGAAAGTGACCAGTGCAAAGAGCTGAAGCCACACGGTTGGAGCTCAAGTAAGTTACAGTCCTCCACATCTTCACGAATACTTCGACCCCTTGACTTTTGAGGAGCTTCAATGCAGACAGAAGATTCAGATTGCAGATAAAATTTGGCACCCAGAACTACTGCCTGGGAGCAATTTATTATTATTTTTTAAACTAAATTTGAAAGAAAGAAACTTTGGCTCTTTTTGAGTTATTGAGTAAGGGTTGAACAAAATTAAGTTAGTGGTTTCAAAGGCTGCAGTCTCTATATAGTTCAAAAACACTGTTTAGAATTAATATAATTTAATTTACTGCCTGTAAAGCCATAATGTGGATTAGTGCCTGTGACTATTTGAAAGAGAAGGGTAAATAAAGCAACAGTATT